GCTAAGCATTGGAATGTTCTGAGCCTCCAAGACTCAGAAAGGGAAAGTCTCCTAGCAAGTGCCTGCTAAGCCGAAAGAATATGAAAAGCTGGAAGAGTTAGCTGCCAAGTGCCCTGAGTGACCCCAAGTCCACTGCTGACCTTATGATTCCAGCGCAGTATCACAAGTATGAATGAGATAAGCAGAGATAGTAGAAATAACATGGATTTCAAGTTATGGGACCTGAGTTTGAATCCTGTCTCTGCTGCTTACTGCCTCTATGAATTTGGGTAAGTCATTTGATCCTGGGCCTCAGTTTCCTTATCTGTAAAATAAGGGGGTTGGGCTAGATGAACAGGAAGATTCTTCTTAGGTCTAAATTTATGATTCTATAATCCAAGATCCCATGAATTCCCACAAAATCCCTCCAAATCTTGCAGAAAGGGGCCTCATAGATTAAATTACTCATTTTGGAGGCTGTCATTTTTTTTCCCTCCTTCTTTCCATTACCCCAACATCATTCCATCCATTCATTGTTTCTTTATAATGTACATCATTGACTTCTCTTGGCAGGTTTTTGGGGGGAGGATAAAGGGAGTTTGGGAATGCCAGAAACTTTGGATTATCCTTAAGGGTCTCATCACAGGACTGCTTGCTACAGTCTTCTCCAATGGGCCCTCTGAAAGTCTGTAAGTATCCTATCAGAACAGCTGGCTCTGAGCTGTTCCAGCCTGCTGGGCCCAGAATCCCCTTCATGGCCGATCTGGGGGAGAGCGAAAGATGATCAAGTGTTCATTTCCATGATGGAAAGGAATATTGTCTCCAAAACCATTACTGTCTGCCTGGGAAATGTATTCTGGAGGTGGTCACAGGCGATTAGCTCTACCAAGTGATTTCAAAGTTCACAGAATCAGTCCATACAGATTGGAACAGCTTTGCACACAGCTGCCAAACTGTGGTTCCTAAGGCCCAGTTCTGACCATGTTGGGCCCCTGGTCAGCAAGTTACAGAGGTCCCTGCTTCTCCTGGATAAAATACAAACTTCTCGGCTTGGCATTAAAGCCATTCCCAGCCTAGTTTCAGGCTACTTTCGAGGCTTGTCTCACATGATTCCCTTCACAAATCCAGGGTTCCCATCAAACCAGACTAACTGCTCTTCCCTGTATAGAATTATATCTCAGGGGGCAGCAGGCACTGGTCCTGCAATCAGGAGGACCTGAGTTTAAATCTGGCCTCAGACACATAACACTCACTAGCTATGTGACCTTGGGCAAGTCACTTAATCCCAATTGCCTCGCCAAAAAAAAAAAAAAAAAAAGAAGTATATCTCCCGCCTCCACGCCTTTGTCCAGGGTGTCTCCCATATTTGGAGTGCCCTTTCCCCTCTTCCCCAACTCAGCATTTGGAAAACCTACACTCCCTTCAGCTTGGCTGTTACTGCCTATTGGAAGCCCTTCCTATAGGCGTCCCCCATTGCTCTCTCTACATTCTCTCCCCTCCCCCATCAACACCACCTTAAGGCCACAAGGAAAACAGCTGACTACCCTTCTCATCGGCTGTCTCCCTCCAGAAGGTATGTTTTTTGTTGGGTTTTTGTTGGGTATTTTTGTTTGGTTTGTTTTGTCCTTGAAGGAGCTGCTGAGACAAATGGGGTGGGAATTATAAGTTGGAATGGTGCCGTAGTATGGTGGATAGAGCACTTGCGCTGATGCCAAAAAGATCTGGGTTCAAGTCCTTCCTGCCTTTGACACATACTTAATGGCCCTGAGTGAGTTATTTAATGCCTTAATGCTCTGGAGAACTTTTAATCAACAGAAGTTGCAGAGAATTTACCAAAGCTGAGCTGGGAAAGGAAGGTTCCTCACCAGAGATATTCTTAAACCACTGAAATCATAGTTCCAATTCCTATTCCTATAATTCACATGTGTCTGCTTTTTCTAGAAAAATAGTAATATCAAATAAAACCTCCCTATTTTTCTAGAGGGCTTATATAACTTTATATTATATATCCTTCCAGTCAAGATTAAGACTGGCCACTGTTACCTCAGGACAACCATTTTTTTTAAATATGACAGCCTTGCTGGGTTTAACTTTGACACAAGACCTTAGACTTGGTTCTCTCTCCTTCCCCCATTCCATCCCTAATCATTGCATTGCCAAAATTACTGAATTAAATGTTCTTCAAGTCCACTTGGTATTCCTGTTTGACCCTCTTTATTTTTCAGGTTTAGTTGTCCCTCCCTTAGGAAAGTCCATCTAGTCTAACCACCTTATTTTACAGATAAGGAAACTGAGGCTTGGGAAAGTTAAGTGACTTAAGGTCAAAAAGTAAGCAAGCAGTAGGTTAATTTCTCCTAATTCAAAAAAAAGCAGATAAAGAATTAGAAGGATGGGGATATCTATGGTACAGGGGAGAGATGTATTTAGTCATAGGACCAGTCATTTAACCTTTGAAATATTCTGGTATGGCAGATTTCCATAGGACCAGGCAGGAATAGAGGGCCCCAAAGACATTAAGAAAGGGATATAGCTCTGCCCAAACACAGTCAGACTGGTTGGTGTTTCCTTATTTTCAGAATCATACAGCTAGACCACAGGCCTATCTAGATTACAGGAAGTTTCAATATTTTTTTGTGTCCTGGACTCCTTTAGCAATCTGGTGAAACCTCTAGGCTCCTTAGAATAATGTTTTAAGTGCATAAAATAGAATACAGAAGATACAAAGGAAACCACTTATATAGAATTATAGTTAGCCACATATTTTTAAAAGCTGTTCACAGACCTTCACTTAAGAACCTTTGGTCTAGAAAATTCTGCAGAAGGCTAGGCAAGGGGGTGGTGAGAGGAAAATAACCAGGATATGCTATATGGGTCTGAGATCTCTCAAAAATGAAAATATAGTCTTCTGGGCCATACTTTTTTCCCCTTCAACTGTATGGAGAAATTACTTTTCCCACCTCAGTCGGTCAACCAGGAAATAAATCTGAAGGAAACCTGCCAAATGTGCCTGGCCCATCTAAACAGCAACCAAATGGAGAGCAAAGAGAGTAGGATTAGGACACACTGCCATGCTGCACTCAACACCACCATCGCCACCATCAACACCACCACCACCACCACCACCATCACCATTTAACATTACCATCATCAACACCATCAACACCACCACCATCAACACCACCATCACCACCATCAACACCACCACCACCATCACCATTTAACATTACCATCATCAACACCATCAACACACCACCATCAACACCACCATCACCACCATCAACACCACCACCACCATCACCATTTAACATTACCATCATCAACACCATCAACACCACCACCATCAACACCACCATCACCACCATCAACACCACCACCACCATCACCATTTAACATTACCATCATCAACACCATCAACACCACCACCATCAACACCACCATCACCACCATCAACACCACCACCACCATCACCATTTAACATTACCATCATCAACACCATCAACACCACCACCATTACCATCACTACCACCACCAACACCACCACCATCAACACCACCATCACCACCATCAACACCACCACCACCATCCATCACTACCACCAGCATCAGCACCATCACCATCACTACCACTACCACCCTCCAACATGTAGAAAAACAACCAGGAGGATAAAATCCTTTTAAAGGCAAAGACAGAGAAAAGAGACTGGATAGGGACATAGAGCAAATAAAGCTATTTTACTGAAGACATTTTTTTCTTTTAAAAATAGAAATAGCTTGGATTACATTTTATTGGGGATTTTATATTTGCATTGGTGCAATGATTAAACTTGCAAAAACTATGTCTAAAAACAACAACGAATACCATCCAAAGCCTCTTGATGCATCAGATTGCCACTGTGTGACTTTCGGCAGGTTGCCTCCCTTCTCTGGGCCTCATTTCTCTTCCCTGAAAAATAAGGGCTTGGCCAAGACAGCCTCTCAGATCTTTTCCCAATGATGTCATGATCTGGCTAGGGACAACCTGAATCTGAATTCCAAGTCCTACGCTCACCAGCTCTGTGGCCTTGGGCATGTCACTTTCCATCAATGACCTCAGGTTCCTGACTAGCTAACATCAAAGGTAGCTCCCAGCTCTCCATCTGGCAGTGCTTGTACTCCTTAGGTCAGAGGCTGAGCACGAACTTAGTACCAGCAACAGTCAACTACAAGGATAGAAAGCACGTTTCTCTGAAAAAAAAGACGTTGCAGGAAAGAATCCCTTTCCACCGTGTCAATTCCAGAATGAACTGCCCTCAGAGTGCACCCCCCCATAAAGGAGGGCTCTGCTACAGAGGCATCATGGGAGAATGTAAAAAGAGCCAGACCTGTTGTCAGGCTATGCTTGGGTTCAAACCCCACCTCAGATGCTCCCTAGCTGTGTGATCCTGACCCAGTCACTCCACCTCTCAGAGACTCAATTTCCCCATCTGTAAAATGAGGAGAAATATGGCACCTGCCTACCAAGGTTGGTTTGAGGATCAAATGAAATAATGTATGTAAAAATGCTTGGCCAACCTTATCTCTGTAAGGCTTCCTGATAATGGAAGTTATTAAACACCTATCTATGAGATAGCCACTGTGCTAAGAGCATACCTGCATGTGAAGTGCTCTGCAAACAAAGCTAATAAACATGTCCACTGTGATCGTATCTGTAAAGTACTTTGCAAACTTCAAATCTTGATTCAGCCCTTGTTCTGGGGTGGTATTTAGGGAACTGGAAGCTGGCCCCAGAGGCAAGGAAACCAGGATTCAAGCCCTGCCTCTTCCGCACCTGAAGTACAGAACCTTGAACAAGTCACTGAATTCAAGCCTGTGGGCAAATCTGCAAACTACAAGGAAGGTGTCAATCTGTATTGGTTAGGGGGCTCTCTGTATTCGGGAAATCACAGTTTAGGGTTTTTAAAAATCACACCCCTGGAGTGGAGTGGGGGTGGGGGTGGGGGGTGAGAGGGAGGCCTGGGGGGCTGAGCCGAGCCTTTGACTTACATTCTTTGCCCCAGTTTGCTCTCCCGATTCTTTATGTTTTCTCCGTTCTTTCCTGAGATCCAGGAGTCATTAAGCCTCAAGGAGCAGCCTCCTGCCAAGTACGCAGCAAGGTCGGATGGGACAGTAAATCGGGCGGCCTCTGCAGCGGTCCGAGGCTGTGCTGATGCCAAATCGCCCTTGTCGAATCAGCAGAGAAAGCGCCATAGGGGAAGGGAAGGCCTGAAGCCCCAGACTCTGCGCTTCCAAGTCGGCCATTAAGGAGCTTGTTAACTTGAGACCACTAAGCCTCCCATTACTTTGGTCCAGGAGCTCTTACCGGGAGATGCTGGCTAGGTGTAGCGTACGGAGTCAAAGCAGTGCCGGCTTTGGGGTCTTGGGATGATTGTTCCGGGGAACTAGGGGACGCCATAGAGCAGCGAGGGATGGGCCAGAGTGAAACCGAACTGAGTTCAAATGCAGCCTCAGATACTGACTACCTGGGTGACTTCACCGCTGTCTGCCTCAGTTTCCTCATCTGCAAAAGGGGGGTAATAACAGCACTTACCCTTCAGGGCTGCTGTGAAGATCAAACCACTGTAAAGCGCTTAGCCCAATGACTGGCACATAACGGGTGCTTAAGAAATAGTTGCTCCAACATTCAATCCAAAGCGCTCTTTTTACAGAAGAGGAGTGGAGACAGACTTGTCCAAGGCCACGTAGTGATCACGTGGCAAGGCCAAGAGTTTAAACTCCAGTCCCCCGAGTCCAAACCTAACACTCCCCCCTGGCTGCACCATGCTGCCTCCTCAGCTAAGCTGGGTTCAAATCCCAGCTAGTTCCTCTGCCCTCCCAGACCCATTTTCCCCATCTGCAAGGTAAAGGAGTGAAGAGGGCAGGGGATTGGAGTGTCAGCTCCGACGCTGACGACCTGGTGACCTTGGGCAGTTATCTGTCCTCCTCTGTAAATGAAAGGGTTGGACCAGATGACCTTGCTGGCTCGGAAGACACAGCATGACGGCCCCGCCAGCTCCACATGTGGGCTCCAGGGATGAGCAGCTGATTTTATGTCACAGACAAGGACCTCCATGTGACCGACCAATCCCTAGCCTTGGGACATCCTCCAGGAGAGAGGAGATAGGGAGCCGGAAGGGGCTTGGCAGCCACCTCTTTAGACAGTCTGAGAGGTCACAGATGCACGCCCCCAGGTGCCCAAATGCGGAGGAGGGGGCCAAATCCTAACCCAGGTCCCCTAGTCCGAGGGGGAAGAGCCTCCCATCCTGGCTACCTTTCAACATTCTCGGGATGTTCTGTGCCTGCACTCTGTTCTGTGAGCCCTCCTTGCCACGGGTCCAGCTTCCTCTGAGAAGCCTTTCTCCCCTCCTCCAGGGTACTGGGATCCTCCCCACCTTGTTCCGACTGCCCATTTTTATCTGGACTCCTCTTATCGAGAGGCTTCCACACCCTCCTGTTGTACTTATTCACACACTGGCTTACTTTGCTATTGGATTATTTCATTTCTGTGGGTCTTATCTCCCCCAAGAGACCATGTGTTCCCGGATGACAGGAATAGAGTGCCTGGAACAGGATAGGTCCTTAATAAATGCTTCTTGATTGGCTGAAAAATCCCCTACATCCCCAAGCTCTCCAGATGAAAAATGGGAATCTCCGAGCTGAAAGAGACCTCAGAAGTCATCTAGTCCAAGAGCCTCTGGAAACCAATCCCCTCCACAACTTCCCTGGCCAGCGGTCATCTGGCATCTGTTCTATGACCTGCAGAGAAGGGGAAAGCGACTACCTGGCTGAGGCTCAGTGTGAGAAGGAAGAGGCTTCAGAAACAGCTAGACCAACCCACTCCTAGAGCAAGAGCATCTCTACACATCCCTGGCAAGAGGTCACCCACAGTCCGTAAGGCCCTGGGCTTGGAGTCAGGAAGACCTGGGTTCAAATTCTGACTCAGATGCTAGCTGTGTGGCCATGGGCAAGTCACTTAACTGGTTTCCTCATCTGCAAAATGCGGGATTTAGATTCAGTAGCCTTTAAAATCCCTTTCAGTTAGAAATCTGCGATCCTATAAAAACACAGGCCCAATGCAATGAAAACAGAAAAGACTGGTATTTCTTGGGTTCTTTAAAACAGGATTGAGAGCAAGCTTTAGGTCTTAGTGAAGAATAATAGACTAGGTGGCTCAGTGGATAGTGTGCTGGGCCTGGAGTCAGAAAATCCTGGGTTCTAATCTGGCCTCAGACACTTACGAGCTGTGTGACCCTGGGCAAGTCACTTCACCCTGTCTGCCTCAGTTTCCTCTTCTGTAAAGTGAGCTGGAGAAGGAAATGGCAAAGCACTCCAGTATGTTTGCCAAGAAAACCCTAAATGGAGTCACGAAGAGTCGGACACCACTGAACAACAAAATATATCAAAAACCTTCAAGTCTACTAAGAAGCAGAGGGACTGCCATCTGTGGAGGTGGAGGGAGCAAAATCTCAACAAAACAAATATATCTATAGCCCATAGACCACACAGAGATCCAGGGCTTCCCTATAGCCCTTTGTTGAAATCAGGGGGTATTCAGTAAATATTTACTAAAATAACTATAACAATAATAAGAGCTGACATTAATATAGACCTTTCAAGGTTATGAAGCATTGTGCATCTATTATCTCAACATGCCTGTGAGGTGGACACCACCGATGGGGACCATCTTTAGCCCCATTTTCCAAAAAAGCAGTCAAGTGGGCTGTCTACTTCCACATGGCCAGTAAACACCAGGGGCAGGGTTTGAATGCCCCTCTCACTGTACTCACTCACTCTGCCAAGCTGTCTCTAATGAAAAAAATGAGCAGTGTAACTGACCAATTCCCTTAAAAGTCCCATTCGTTATTGCTCACTCTTTTGAGGGGCCAGGTGGGGTAGCTGTGTGAGAGGAGATGGAGCCCAGTAAAAGCCAAATGGTGAAACTCTAGCCAGGTGCAGGCAAGTCTTAGATGAATGACAAGGGAACCTTTTCCTCAGAAAATTAGAATTTGGAGATTTAGTTGAAATTCAATGAAATTCAATGTGTGTGTCTATGGGATGGGATGTATAACATCACACATATATACATACATTTGTGGTTCAGTCATGTTCAACTCTTTGACACCGTATGGACCACACTGTCTATGGGATTTTCTTGGCAAAAATGTGCCTAAGTACATGTACACACATATACACATTTTTTAAAATTTATTTATGTGTCTATAGTGATATAGTCAAATCTGGCCTTGCAGCCAGGTGGGTTTAAATCACACCTCTAACACATACTGGCTGTGTAACTTTGGGTATATCTGTTACCATTTATGAGGCACTTACTGTATGCCAAGCTCTGTCCTCAAGGGGCTCACACTGAAGTCTAAGACTGAAAAGATGCCAGCCTTCACTCACAAAGCTGCTTCATCTGGCAGTTCACTATATCAATGAAATCACGAGTCCAAGCATGAGCTCTGTCTGGACATTGTTTCCAAGTATATAGATAAATACAAAGATCTTCAGATTAGGCATTTAAAATCCTCCACAATCTGGCTTTCATTTTCCTTTCCAGAGTTCTTGCGTGTTACTGCCCTCCATATCCTCACTGTTCTAGTCAAACCAAGCTACCCTATGCCTGGAGCGCTCCCTCACCTTTCCCTCATACATTCCCTGGCTTCCTTCAAAACACAGCTCGGGCACCCCCTCCATCCCACGGCTTTTCCTGATCTCCATATAATTCCCAGTGATTAGCTCTCTATCCCTCTTGAAATCACTTGGTACTAAGCAGCTAGGCAATAGAGGAGATAGAACCCTGGATGGAGACCTCAGTTCAAATTTTAACTCAGGCACCTAACCTTCTTTGTGACCCCAGGTGACTTTTTTTAACCTCATTTGGCCTCAGTTTCTCATCTGTAAAATGGGGATAATAATAGCTCTTCACTTACAGAATTGTTACGAGGATTAAATGAGATAACATATGGTAAGTACATAAACCTTAAAGTGCTAAATAAGTGCCGGTTATTATTCATTTGCACGAGTTTTGTATTGAATTACTACTGTATGTGTTAGATCTCCTCTCATGTTAGAGGAATGTAAGTTCCTTCAGGGCAGGAATTTATCTGTTTTGTCTTTGTGGTCCCAGCACTTAGGGCAGTGAGTGCCAGGCCTATAGGAGATCCTTAATAAATGCTCATTGAATTGAATACCGAAAAAGAGAGATACGTACATAGTCAGTTACCAAACATTATATAAGCCTTCACTATGTGTCAGGCACTGTGCTAAGCAATGGGATTACAACCATAAGCAAAAGAAAGCCCCTGCCCTCAAAAAGCTTAAATTCTAATGGGAAAGACAGCATATAAGGTGTGAGAGAGAGAGAGAGAGGTCTTACCACATATACATCTAAAAATACTATATATGATAGATAATATAGAAAGATAGAGATAGATGAATAGATAAGTAGATAGATTTTTACCATATATTAATATATACTATATATTATAGATAAATAGATGATAGAGAAAGATAGATAAATAGGTAGGTAAGTAAATAGATCTTGCCATATATACATATATAAGTACTATATATGATAGATGATAAAGATAAAAATAGATAGATAACTAGATCTTGCCATATATACATATGTAAATACTATATATGATCGATAAATAGATGATAGATAAAGATAGATAAGTAGATCTTGCCATATATACATATGTAAATACTATATGATCGATAAATAGATGATAGATAAAGATAGATAAGTAGATCTTGCTATATATACATATGTAAATGCTATATATAGCATTTTATATTTATGCTATAAATATTTGAAAGAGAGAAGGAGATGAATGGATGATAGGTAGACAGAAGACAGACAGACGGATGGATGGATAGATAAATGACAGATGGATAGATAGATACATAGATACATAGATGGATGGATGGATGACTGACTATCCCCAGGCACTACTCTAGCCTCTGAGGATACAAAGACAAAAGTGAAACTGTCCCTCTCCTCAAGGCGTTTACATTCTATTGGGTGGGTACAACATGGACCCCAATGAATAAATAGGATCATATGTTTAGAGCTGGAGGAGATCTTAGAAATCCCCCCTCTCCGAGCTATTAGAGCCCTCTCCCTCTAAATTACTTTGCATTTGTTCTATACAGATACTTCTATATGTACCCATTCGTGGTGTTCCCCTATAGAATGTAAGCTCCCTGAAGACAGGGGCTGTATCACTTTTGTAGCATGGTGTCTGGCATACAGTAAGCACTTAGTAAATGCTCGTTGATTGATCGATTGTTCGATTGCTCATCCAGTTCAAGTAATTTGAGGCAAGAAGAAGCACTGAAGGACTGAGAAGCAGATGGAGGAGCAGGGCTGGGTGATCGCAGAGAGCCAGAATCGATTCAGAATCCCTT